GCTCCTCAGTGAAGGAGGAGGAGTGCAGGGCACTTGGTAGAGATAGAAGAAGTATGAAATCGCCATCTCTGAGCACAGGAAAATGAGCTTTCTAGGAAAGGCTGGTTGGCTTGCCAGGCATGAGGAGTGCCAATTTGAGGTTTGTGGTCATGAATTTAAAGAACAACCCACCAGCAGGGCTGTGTGCTTCTCTCCAGCATCCCTCAGCTGCTCGGGCTCAGGCTGGGAGAGGCCGAAGGGTTGGGCTTTACCGGGGCTGGGACGTAGCCAGGCCCCTATGGTGGGAAAGGGGCACGTTTACTGAGGTCGTGGGCTGTGGGGTGACAGTCACGCTGCAGCATGGACTCTACATGGGGTGAGGAGGAAGGGAAGGCCGTGAGCCCGTGACAGTGGAAAAGGCGATAATGACAATGAAAGGGAGGTTCCGATGAAGCATAGGGCAGGGGAAGCTGGAGGCCACAGCGAGAGTGGACGAGATTGGGAGATTGGGTGCAAGAAACCACAAGCTAGGGGAGCGCGTGGGGTAGCCTGTTGGCTTCAGAAGGGCAGGGACTTGAAAGTGGAGGAGGATACAGGGTTTGGAGAGGATTAAACGGCAGCAGAGAGAGTATGCACGTCTTCTCCTGCCCTTCCCTGGACTGGTTTCCCCTGCCTCTCCCAGAGCAGTTCTCTCCGGCCAGGTTGCCTGAAAAAGCCCACGACATCATGGGTGTCTTCAGCTTATGGGCAAGAAGGCCATTTCCCCCTTGGCTCCTTCCTGGGACCTGGCCTAGAGCTCCTGCTGACCACACTGCACAGGTGGCGGCGATGCGTCTCCCAGAACAAGCAGCTCAGCCACTCGGGGGCCGTATCCCTCCAGAGACCCTGGTTTCTTCGCCTGTGAAATGCAATCCATCATTTGTTTATTGAAACGCGTGTTCAACACTGTTGTGTCCCAGGCCCATTGTATTTCCTTTTTTTTCCTGCTCAGCCACCCCTTTTACAGATGAGGAAATATAACCTCCGAGAGGCGAAAACCAGATCGTATGAGTCTATGTGAGTCCAAAAAGCTCACTATCCAGTTAGGGAAACAGGCGGGGAGAGAACGAACAATACGTGATGTGCGCAGAGTTCTCTGGGACTGTGGACGCTGGAGAGACCGAGTCTGTTGGGGGGCAGTGTGCGGGCGTGTGAACCAGACCTATGGGAAGAGTGGAAGGCAGGGCGGGCAGTGGTGACAGCCTGCGCGAAGGCATGGTGACGTGACACTCCTGTGTGGCCCAACATTATCCAGTAAAGGGACCAACAGTGTGACAGGGTCCCTAACCTTGTCTGCAGTCCTGGGGTGCACAGATACCATAAGGGGGCCCACAAGCCCCCTGAGGTTGTGTCATAATCGTGAGTTTCAATGTATCATTTTCTGGAGAGACACTTTTTATTTTCATTAGGTTTTTAAACTGGGACACAGGCTCCAAAAAGCATTGAATAGCAAAGGAGCTTGGAGAGGCTCCCAGGCAAGGCAGTGATCTGGGACCACATCAGGATTAACAAAGACAGAGAAAAACCCCACTTCCTGCCCATGTCCTACTTTATCTGGCCCTTGCCCAGCAATCCCACGTCATCTGCAACCCCTACTCTCTCTCATCACGCTTTAGCCACGCTGGCCTTCGTTGTGTTCCCGGAGTGTGCCAAGTTGTTCCTGCCCCAGGGCCTTTGCACGTGGTGTTCCCATTGCCTGGAATGCCCCTTTCTGAGCGCTCCACATGGCTTGCTCCTTTTGCTTATTTAGATCTTAGTTCAATGATCTAAGAGTACTTCTCTGACCACTTCATCTAATGAAGCACCTTATCTCTTGGGAACTTGCTGTCGCTATTTGCTTTTCCCCCTTGATAGTACTTACTGTGTTGACTTGTTAACTTTCTGTCTCCACTCTCATGTTGGTTACCATGACTAAGGACTTGGTTGCCTTCACTCTGGGCCTATCCCAGAGCCTGGCACGTGGTAGGCACCCTTTTCATGTCTGTGAAGCGTGAAACATGAACACAAACATGCTTGCATGGCTACTGTGGTGTTGAGATACATGCAGGGGAGTCCACCCTAGGAAATACTGGAGGTGTCTGAGGCAGAGGGGAGGAAGGAGGGAAGGAGCCAACGTTCTGTGCTGAAGAAAGACTTAAGAAGCTGGAGCTGAAGTTGAAGTTAAGAATCAACACATAATAGATGAATTCATTTAACCAGAAGAGAGTCACTCTGGAAAGTGGGAAGGAAGGGAACTAACATTAGTTCAATGGAGTAAGTAAGGTATATGGAACAGTGCCTGGCGCATAGTAGGTATTTATCAAATAAATAAAAAGAAATATGTTAAGCTCTTACTTTGTGACCATCACTTTGCATAAGCATCTCCATTCATCCTCAAACATATACTCGCCATCTTGCAAATGAGGAGAGGGACTGAGATGAGAAGATTTGTCCAAGTTCAGACAGTGATTCAGGGACAGAGCTGAGAACCCCAGTCCCTCAAACAGCTCTGTTGAAAGTTGCAGTCACTGCATTGCCTGTCTCCCTTCCTCATAGCACCTTTACAACCTAATATCCTGCGCATTCTACTTATTTGTTTATTGTCTGTCTTCTCATACCAGAATATAAATCCCTGGTTCTCTTCAGTACTCTTTCTCAGAGCCCAGAACACAGAGGCCTGCCACAAAAGTAGACAATGAATGCTTCTTGAATGTTAAAAGGATGAATGAAGGATTCTTTTTTAAAAAAATCGTTGCTTTCTGCATCTCTAGGAGGCAGTTCTGGAAATGTGTGGCTGAAGGGCAACCCAAACCCAGTCGAGGAGGCTGGAGTGTGTCTGAGATGAACTGGGAAGGAGAGCTGTGGCTTACTGACCGCTTGCAACAAATCAGAAGTAAGACTGTGTCCCCAGCAGAGGCACTGGCTGCATGGAGCCTGGCAGGAGAGCAGCCAGGGAGCTGGGGTTTGTCCAGTCTCCAGCATCGACACCATTGCCATGGTGGCATCATAGGTGTGGATTCCACAGTCCGCACTTGTCCTCCCACATAAAGTGGCCCTGGGGGGGGGGGGGGCGGCGGAATGTGTTGGCCAGGCCCCCTGTGGCAATTACAAGCTTGATGCACATACATAAATTGGCACTTAATCAGGACGTCTCTCGTGAATTGAGTTAGAGTGAACCAGTCGCTCAAGCCTGGGAGCTCTGGCTACTGAACAAATGAAGGTTCCAAACCAGCCAGGCTGCACTAAGGACCCTCCTACCTGACCTCCCGCGGTGCCAAGGCCTCTTACTGTAAAGCTCGGCCCCCAGACCTGCAGCATTAGTGCTGCTTGAGCACTTGTTAGAACACAAATTCTCCGGCCTTGTCCTCAGTTTACTGAACGGGGGACTCCGCGACCAGGGTCGGGTGCTCTGTATTAAGGGAGCACTGTGGGAGATTGTGACCCGCTGCCAAGTTTGAGAATCACTGTCAAGCAGTTTCTCTTTCAGGGCGGTTATTACTCTGCTGCATGGGGGTGGGGTGGGGTTAAGGGAACAGTCAGGGTTGGGGGAGGAGGGGGTTTCATAGATACAGCACATAGAGTCCTGTGACAAATTCAGTGCTGAACGGGTTAGTTCTTCTTGTGAGAAGGGTCAGGATTTGGGGAGGAGCTGGGAAGGAAGACCCTTGTGTTTCAGAAGCTCTCCAGAGGAGGAGGTGGTTTGCAAAAGCACAGTTTAAAGTTATCATGGTTTTGTTTTACAGACCCAGCATTTATTTCAAAATTTCAAATGATATTAAAGGGAGGTGTAATATAACCTGTCAGCCAGTACTGACTATATATTATGTATAGTTTAGGTGGAACTAGAATCCTGAGACCCTAGTTCCTGTCCAACCCTCATTCTAAAAAAATAAAAAAATAGGATGAGGACAGAGGGAACCTATTAAACTGGCCCGAAAGATAGCAGAAACTAACCTATAAAATGGGTTGCACGACTTTATGGGGCGCCTACAGTGTGCCAGGCACCGTATCTGGCTCTCAGACGAGGATAGGAAGATAAGTTAGCCAACTGCTTGGGCAGCCAAGGAGCTTACAAGAGACAATTCAGAGGACAGAGATTTCCTCTGGTTGGCAGATGTTGGATGTGTGGGACCTTTGACCAGCCTCTTGTTTTTTTTTAGTTTAGCCAGCTAAATAGAGCACATGTGAACTGGTAGGGGCTCCGGAGGGGTGAGGGCGGGGATGGGATGGGGTGGGGTTTGAATGCTGGAGGCACAGGAAGGTACCAGTCCAGTAGCAGTACTGCGCCCGGGCCCACGGCTTCACCTGGAGCCTAGGACATAGGTACTGTTATCACCCAGCCTTACTGATGCGGAAGCTCAGACACGGGAGGTGAGATAACTTTGCCCAAAGTCACACAGCTAGAGACTGAATTTGAAACCAGGCACTGACTCTAGCTCCCACGGGCAGGACAAATCAATGTGCCACCCCAAGCGGCTGGGCTGGGGGCTGGCTTGCGGTGGCAGAGGAATGGGACACCTTATTTTGGTGGGTGAAAAGGGTCCCGAAGAAAGCCCTTCCTCCTCTCTCCATGCCTGAGCATTTATTTCCATTGGCATGGAGACAATCGGGAGTCCAGTCCTAGGCGAACCTGCTACACGACAAGCACTTTAGGCCCCTTCCCACTAGATGGCGGCCCCTAAAACCCAAGTAGAAATTCTGGAACCTCCACGGTCCCCATCTTTTAGGTTTTGGCCGTGGCGGAGGAATGGCAGGATGCAAAACCTCCTCGGTTTCAAGGGACACCCGGCCCCTGCCCCGCCCCATCCGGGGGTCGCGGGAAGCCCCTGGACTGGAGGCCGGCGTGGGGGACAGGGATGGGCGGGGAGACGAGGCTCCCAGGCTCTGGGCGCCCGGGGGAGGAGTCAGCGCGGAGCCACTCCCGGGACACAGAGGAGGTCGCTCCCGCCTCGCCGGCGTCCACAGCGGAGGGACCACCCGGCTCCAGGCGTAGGGCGCGCGGGCGGGGGCTCCGGAGGCGCCTGCGAGAGGCAGGTGCGCGGCGCGGACTACAAGTCCCAGCATGCCCCGCTGCCCTGACCCGGCCCCGGCTGCCACTTAAAGGCTCTGGGAGCCGCAGCCGTCGGGTCGCCGCGGCTTTCGCTTTGCCGCCGCTGCAGGGCGGGCGGGAGCAGCCGGCTCCGTCGCCGGCTCTACTCGCGTCCCTTCCCCGCAGCACCCAGGGGCGCTCCTCGTGCAACCCTCCCGGCTCGGGGATTCCCGTCCGAGCCCGCGCCCCCGGGCTCCCCGCCTCAGCCACCCCGCGGCCCCGATGCCGAGGTATGGATAGAGCGGCACGGCGAGCGGCGGCGATGGGGGAGAAGAAGGAGGGCGGCGGCGCGGGGGACGCGGCGGCCGCCGAGGGGGGCGCCGGAGCCGCGGCCAGCCGGGCGCTGCAGCAGTGCGGGCAGCTCCAGAAGCTCATCGATATCTCCATCGGCAGCCTGCGCGGGCTGCGCACCAAGTGCGCCGTGTCCAACGACCTCACCCAGCAGGAGATCCGGACCCTGGAGGTAACGCGGCCGCGGCGCGGGAGGGTTCGGGGACCCGGGCTGGGCCCGAGAAGGCGGGGGTCAGCGGCCCCTATACCCCCTCCCCCCCTCGTGCCCTGTTCACTCCTTTCCTGGTTGCATCCTTGAGCCCAGGTCGCCTGGTCTGAGGCTTCCTCTCCTTCCTCCATTCGGTGATGCGGCAGGTTGAGGACCCCAGCCCAGCCCTTCACCTTGGGCGGGCATTGGGGGGAGGGCGGCGTGGGAACTGGGGTGGAGGCTCCGGGAGCCGGTGGGCGGGGTGGGCTGCGCGGACACCCCCTGCCCCCTCACCTCCGCCCCCCACCCCATTTCCAGCTTGCAGGGCCGCAGGGCTCATTCTCCCACTGAGTCACACGCTGGACTTTTCCCTGTGTGACTGAGCCCGGCAGCCGTGGGCCGGGGTGACGGGGTGAGGAGGGGGGTGGGGGGTCCCCCTGAAGTGTGAGCAGAGCCCCGTGGTTCTCTGCTTGCGCCTCACGCCCCGGGCTCTGTCTCGTCCCTTCCTTTCCTCTCCTCCAGGTTTTTGTGTGCCGCCTTTCAAAAAAGTGTTTGCTGAAACTGCATTTTTTTCTCTTCAGGCATTTGGTACTTCCCACAGCGTTTCACTGCTCAAAGTGTAATTACCCACCGACAACCCCCGCCCCCCCCCCCCCCCCAAACACTGGATTTTGGTTTAGGAAGGATTATGCTGGGGAGCAAGCCTTTGGTGAGAAGATGACACTATTTAAGGGCTTCTGGTGGAAATAGCCTCCCGTGTAAAGAAGAAATAAGATATGCCTGCCCTCCTCTCAAATTATAGCTGGGAAGTGCAGTATTAAAAGGATTTGGAAGAAGGGTTGTTGGGTTCTCAGAAGGGGGAGTCCCCCCTACCCCCATACACAATAGAGGGAAACGGGTGTATTCCCAACTTGCTTTTGTCCAGAGGCTGGGAAGGCTGTGGCATCCAGAGACCAGTGAATAGCTAACTCCGACTTGAAGAAGGAGCTCCCCCTTGCATTGCCACATCTGGTCTTCTGCCGATCTGGGGATGTTTTGTTTTATTAGAATCTTAATTTCTCATCCGCCCCCCTCCCCTCCCTCCCCTTATTGCTGATTGCCGCTGCCAGCTGTCGTAGGGCCAGCGGTGATTTGTTGTAATTATTACAAGACCCAGTCCTCTGTGCACACCATAAACCGGAATCCCTGTTTGATCCAGATTGCTCGATGGTGACTTCTCTCCTTCAGTTTTATTTTCTTCAAAGCTATAAAACCAGGGACGTGGGAAGCATGCAATCAGCGCTGGCTATTAGAATTTTTGTTACAGTTGCTGTTGCAGTACTGACCAGGGTTTTGCTTAAAAAACCAACCAACCAGCAACACTCCGCACAACTGTCCCTTCTGCGGGCAGGCTGCTGTTTTCCAAGTGGCGAGGGCTGCTGGTTTCTTGAACACAGCGGAGTGTGCTTTTGCCCAGGAAAGTTCAGTTTTTAAACCGACACAGGAGGGGGCCTATGTGGCTTAGTTCCGGGAGGGGAGGGGTCCTTGTCCAGCAGCCTGTGTTGCTGGGATGAGAGAACGTTCTCTGTGCTGGCCTCTCTCGGACTGTCCTCATGTCGCTCAGAAGTGCTCCTGGTTCACAGAGCGGATACCGGAGAGCCGTTCGCCGTTTGTCCTCTGGAAATGGCGCTTTGCCTTCATGGTACCCTGACTTCCAGTGTCACTCATTGTAACCAAGGTGTGGCATCATGACACCCAGAGCATCCAGCTATTTGGGTCTCTGAGCTGGTTTATTCAGTGGCCTTCCTCCTGAGTGTTTCTTTGGATGATCCAGTCAGGTGGCCAGAAACCCTTCCTAAGGCCCGAAAGGGATTTGCAGGGTGAACTGGAACCAATACCCAGCTCTCTGTCCTCTCCATTGTCTTGTGGATTCAGGTCCACGCTTCTCCATGAAAAGGCAGGACTTTGGTTGTTTTGGGGGTGCGGGGGGATTTAGTCCCCAGGAGCTAGTTTGGTGGAATCACTTCACCCAGAGGCCTCATCCTCACCTAAACAAGGGAGGCCAGAGTGGATCTCTGTGCACTTCTGTGGTTTAGTGAAGGGACCTCAGTGGGGTTGAGTCAGCATTTGTTATACATAACCCTGTTTAAGAATATCCCTGTTTAATAAACAAAAGGCCAAACTCAGATACGGACAACAGAATGGTGGTTACCAGAGAGGAAGTGGGAGTGGGGAGGACAAAGAGGGTAAAAGGGGGTCAAATACAAGGTGACACTCGGGTAGTGAGCACATAATATACAGATTATAAAGTTGTACACCTGAAATTCATGTTTTTAACCAATAAATGTTACCCCAATACATTTAATTTAAAAAAAAAAGACTAACAAGAAAGAAAACCAAAACAAAAAGAAAGATTATTTTCTGCTTAAAGATGGTTCTAAAGTCCAGATGTACTAAACTGATAAAGTAGATGGGAAGTTTATTACTCTAAGAATCCTGATGGGGCAGTGTAGCCAATGGAAGAGCCCGTGGCTTTAATTTCCAGTCTGAGTCCTGTCTGTGTGACCTTGGGCAAGTCCCAAGACTTCTGAATCTCAAGCTTCCTTATCTGCAAAATGGGCATGAGACTGCTGAAAACCACAGGGTTGTTGTGAGTCTGTAGGTTCCCACTCTTTCTACTGAGAGATTCTGTGTATCGACTTTCCCCGGTGCGGGTCCAGGGGCATTCAAACCACAGGTCCCCTTTCAGGGAAGCTACTTCTATTGCTGGCTCTTACTTCCCAGCGGCGGGTGACACAGGCCAGGAAGCCATCCCAGCGGCCTGTGGTGAGTCCCATGGGACAGTGGTGATGCCCACTCTGGTTTTCTTTCCTCTTCTGCAGTCTCCTCTCATACCAGAGACCGTGCTTGCAACATTGGATTCCTGGCTTTTGAAAAAGGGCTTGACTGGAGGTTGGCTTTCGCAACCGCGCCAGACTTCTCCCAGAATCTTAGGAACTCCAGCCCATTCTGGCCCCCATTAAATGAGCGCTCAGTGGGAGAAACAGCGCGTGCGATGCCCTTGGGGGTCCCTGATGCCGGTGGCCAGGCCTAGCTGCTGCTGCTGCTGCCGCTGCCTGAGGTTGCAGACTGTGCCGATGTGGGGGGGTCAGCGTGTCCAGCTGCCTGTGATGACTCTCCAAAGGAGTGGAAGGAACCCAGGTGTCATGTTTGCCTCCTACCTGCCGGCCAGTGTGCTGGGCCCTTCTCCGTCTGAGGAAATCACCTGCAATTCCACCAAATGCGTGTCACACACAGTTTTTCTCTACGTGGGGAGGGAGAGGAAATCTGAACCCCGAGTCTGAGTCTGTAAACAGCGGTTGTGAGGCTGCTTCATCCCAGCGGAGCCTGTGTCCCATCTCCGTCAGACCCTCCTCGGGGCCTGAAGGATCCGCTGAGGCAGGATAAGTGTTTTCATTCCTCAGATGTGCTCATATGGACACTGCTAGCCGGCCTGGCAGCCAGGCCTGGAGCCCCGCACCAGTTCAGTCCCTCATTTATTTGTCCTGTTTGGGCCGAGTCTGTGTTGGGCACTGGAGAGATAGTGGCACCTCGCGGAGATTCATGTTTTGTGGACACTGCAACTTTGCGCTTTCCTGCCAGCCTGCTGGTGCTTCCCAGAGTCAGGCCTCGCACACTGAGTCTCCCCACCTGTGCTCTTCTGGAGAAAAATCCCCTCCTAAATAGGCTGACCTGGATTTGAAAGGGTCCCCAAAGGGCCTTTCCCATTGGCTTCACTGGGGAGGGGATGTTGGGGAGCTGGCCACTTCCCTGGGGGCCCTGCTGCTCCTGGAAAGATCAGGGAGGTTTGACCTTCACTCAGCTCTGCTGTGGCCGAGGTCAGACCCCTGCTGTGTGGAGGGAGGGCCCGAGCTCTTCCTGTGGCCCCTCCCCCTGTTCCCCAATCATCTGGGAAGGGAAAGGGATGCCAGCTGTCCCCACAGATCAGTTCGTTGGGGCAGTCATGGTGATGTATTCACTCCACAAACCTTCCAGTTATTACTGATTTGCCTGCTGAGCTCCTAGCAACAGCTACCCTGGCAAGGATCCGAGGTAGGTAGGATGCTCTCTAGGTCTTTGGGACACTTTCAGTCTAATGGGGGAGCCAGGCAGGCAAACAGTAGCAGCTCCAGTGCCCTGGCTTGCCAAGAGTGCTTAGGAATTGGGAATGTGCTGAACAGTTGGCCAGACCGACTTCCTGGTGTGTTTTTTAGAGAGAATGGAAGGGATGGCGGGGGGGACATCGATGTGAGAGAGACACATCGATTGGGTGCCTCCCACATGCACCCTGACCAGGGCCAGGGATTGAGCTTGCAAACGAGGCACATGCCCTTGACCGGAATCAAACCCAGGACCCGTCATTCTGCAGGCCGATGCTGACCTCCTGGTTTTAATGAAAAATATTTCCAGTCTTGATGGTGACTTGTCCCAGGTCACAGGTCCCTGGCAGAACTGAGAGCGAACACGGGTTTCCCTTTCCCACCCAGCCATTGCTTGGAGTATGGCCTTTCTCTGCTTCCACTCCATCACCATAGTTTCAACTGCCTGCTGGAGGTTTTTACTCCTGCAATCCCTGAAGAGGTGCAGAGCTGGGCGCTGTCCCCTTTGGTGTCAGTTTTCGCCTTGGCAACTTTTTCCTTGATGAAACTTGCCACCAGCATACCTTGGGGGTTGCCTGGCAAGGCACCTGCAGTTTCCCCGAGCCTGGGGAGACCTGGGTGATGCCGGAGGGAGGTCAGGAGCTCAGGGACAGTGCTAGGAATGCCTCCTTCTCTGCTGGGTTGGCTCCAAGTCCAGGAAAGCGGTATTGCATACCCCCAGTTGCTGGCCCTGCCTGCTGGCTGTGGTCTGGAGAAGGACTTCAGAGGCCCTCGTCTTTCGTGGCCGTGTCTGCAGTGGTGGGGGAAGTAACAAAGTCTGTGGCCAAGTTCCCTAAGCTGTGCTTTTTAATAACACATCCTTTCAGA